CCGCCCCCGCCCCCCGCGCGCCCGCCCGCTCGCCCGCGCCCTCGCTCGCCCCGCGCGCGTTCCTAGGGCGCCACCTCTTTGCGACTCGCTCACTTCTCCGGCAGGTTTGCCTCGGAGCGTGTGAACATTCCTCTGCTCGGCTCTCAGCTCGCCTCCAACCTGCGCCGCCCGGCCAGCATGCCTCCCAGCCCGTGAAGCCGGGCCGCCGCTGCCCCTCCGCGCCGCTGTTCATCCGCCCGCGCTGCCACCTGGCCCTGCTGATCGACGACACACGCACTTGAAACTTGTTCTCAGGGTGTGTGGAATCAACTTTCCGGAAGCAACCAGCCCACCAGAGGAGGTAGACAGACAACTCTGTATATATATGTGGGTTTCGCTGCAAGTGGCTCTGGAACCAGAGGGCCTGGTTCGCAAAGAAGCTGATTCCAGGGGGGGAAACTTTCTCCTTTTAGGAGGGTGTCAGCTCTGCTCCACCAGCCCAGGAGAACTGTTGGCCACATTAATTAGACATTGCTATGGGAGACGTGTAAACACACTACGCATCATTGGTGCATATATATAAAAACATTTCATTTTCGCTCTTTCAGAGCAAGCGCCTCTGATTTATTTTATTTTATTTTTATTTTTGTTTTCTTCTTTTTGGTCCCTTTTTGCCCGTGTGGTTTGGAAAAAGCACAGTTGGAGTAGCTGGTTCCAAAAATAAGTAAGTGCTGAGAGGCTTCAGAGAAAGTTTTCTTTTTCTTTGCAATTTGGGAGATGCCCTTGATGAGGAGGAGGCTATTTGAGAGTTTGCCAAAAGAGGGAGCGGGGTAGTGCGGGGAGATGGAGAGTCCGGACTGACACTTTGGGTCTCTTTCCACTCTGTTGCAGGACCCGAGAGCGAGAGGATACCATGCTGCGGAGACTAGTCCAGCAGTGGAGCGTCGCAGTGTTCCTGCTGAGCTACTCGGTGCCCTCCTGCGGGCGCTCGGTGGAGGGGCTCGGCCGCCGGCTGTAAGTGTCCTGTCCTCCCCAAGGCGCCGGGGTTGGGAAGCCAGGGGGAGAGGCTGCCAGGCTGGGGCGCTGCCGAGGGTTCACAGCTGTCACCGATGCTCCTCGCCCGGGTTAGAGAGAAGGGCCATCGAGCTACCTGCGGGGGCTGAGCCCGGGTCCTCAAATACGGCGGGAGAACTAGTTGAACCTGAAGGGGAGCAGGCAAGAGACAAATTTTATGTGTGTTTCCGTAAGAGGGAGTGTTTTACAGAATCTCCTCTGGGGGAAGATCCTTTGCCTCTACTGAAATAAAAGGGTGACTTTCAGGACCTGGGAAGGTTTTGAAACTCAGAGGAAGGTGAGGGATCCAGGAGACATGTGTCGGTGCGCTCGTATACATATTGAATGCAGTAACAGTTTGTGTGTGAAAAGCAAAAACCTTAACCTAATTTTATTATGAATGACATAATTTCAAGCATATAAAATGGGACCATATTACATAATGAAGGCATATTATATAATAAAATAGTAACAACTTTGCAGTGGCACAGCTCCAACGATAGTATTGATACAGTTCAGGGAAGCTAAACTGCTTGATTCCAAAATGAATTTTAGGTGTGGAAACTTTTTTTTTCTTGGAGTCAGATATTTGCATTGCTAATTGGAAACTTGTATTTTGGCATTCTCATCTGGTAATTCTTTTAAAGATAACTTTGACTTCGAAGTAATCTACATCCAAGCACACCAGAGAAAGATTACTATGTTGTATGACTAAAAGTTGGAACAGCGGTAGAGTAACCCTATCTTCATAATCCGTTGGACCTAGCACTTACTAAGTGTGTAATACCATCTTTGGGTGATATTTAAGCTTCAAACTCAGGTTCAGAATGGGAAAACTATAAAATTTGGGAACTGAGAAAAGTTTGACTCGAGAAGGAATTAAGAACTTTTACACTAACAGTAAAAATAGCAATATCTAGTATTTCCAATCAGGTTCATGGTGCTTCCTTGTAAATTCCCAAGGGTGTACAAAAAGGCAACTGTTTTATATGTGCCCTTGGTCTATTATTATTAGAGCAGAAAATCCTTAAATGAAATTACTTTAGACATGTCTGAACCTTGGCACCAAAATGAAAATCTATTATGAATCTCCTAAGGCAAATTGTGTAGAACATTGTGCTAAGATAAAGTTGCATTGTATTCTTCAAATCAACATTTTGCTATTATATTTCTGAAAATTGTCTTCAGACTTTTTGCTCTTTTTGAGACTTGTGTTAAATTTAATTATTTAAAATACATACATGCATATAGATGAAGACTGAATTTTTAAGAGCACACTTAAATACTGTATTTATTTGGCTTGGAACAGAGCCAATTTTTTCTTTTAAGTTGCTTAAGAAATACCTGTTTTCTTTTTTGAGAAACAGTGAATGAACCATGATTAAATCTGCAGTTATGGCATGAAAACAGTGTTAAGCTGTCCTAAAGGATATTTTTAACTCTTTCTTTGTTGCACCTTGCAAAATACACATCAGAAGCCATTTAGCAGCCAGAGACTCTGTTATAGTTTTGTTTGTGGGTGAAATATAATATTGTAGTTAAACAGTCACACTCAGCAGATGGTTATAAAACAACCACAAAACATTCTCATAGTTAATGGCTAATAGATCATCACATTACAACCTTCATTTTTCATGGAGACTGAAATCATCAGTAGATGCAGATCCTTCATCAAATTATTACAGCCAAATAGAGTTTTAAAAAACAAGTCATTATTTTTGCATTGCTGCCAAGTAACAGTAAATTTTATGTGCTGGACCAAACATTAGTCTACTATTACGCTAAATCAAGCTACTTTCTTGAAAGAGATTTTAACATAAAATCAAACCATGTTACTTCCCAAGTATTAGGAAAATTGCTTTAGAAGTACAGTTTTGTTTTTTTTTTTCAACTAGGGGCTAACTTTTAAGGGACAATATGCCATGCAAAGGAGGCAATTATAAGTTGTGAATTTTTGGACCTATTAGTGCAGAAGATTTTAATTAATGGGGCTTGAGCATAATTAAGTTGGAGATTGGAAAGTGTGGCTATGGGTATTCTTGTCCAGATGAGCACGGCTTTTGGCAGGTGGCTACCTCTGTGTTTGGTTAGAGAGGGAACCCCAGAAGATTCAGAAACCTAAAACATCACTGGCTGATTTGCTGGGGAGCCAGACTGGGTCTGTTCCACTTAATGGAAAGCATAACTTTTGACTGAGTCATTTGGGTTGGAAGGGACTTCTGGTGAGTCATCTTAACTCTAACACCCTAACCCTGTCTCTACCATGTACCACAAAACTTTTCTTTTCAAACACAGAGTCCTTCCTTTAGGAGCTTAGCATCAGCACAAGCACACTGCTTCTTCCTGTGCTGGAAGAGGAGTTTCCATCACTGTTTATTCCCTCTGTTCCTTGATAGTTCCTTAGAAATTTCATCTTCCTTCCTGAAAACTCCCTTGAGAGTGAGTGATTTTTCTTTAAAGCGGAAGAGCTATGTTTTGACTGACTTAAGAGTTATGTATTAAGCTTTTTCCCCAAGTTTTTGCAATTTTTTTTTTCAATAATCAAGGGAGACCATGAAGCATAACCTACTTGTTTTTCCATGTTGGAGATTTGGCATGTAATAAATGCCATGTGAACCATTGTACTATGTAATGATTATGAACATATTGAATAACGGACTATTATTGAGGCCATATTTACAACTCAGATATTCAGAGTTATCTAAAATGAAAACATCCTTAATCTGAATTTATTACTCATCACCTAAGTATATCTAGATTGTACATCTAGATATTTATCCCTGTGTTAGTTCATGTCTTATTTTGGAAATAAATAGAACTCTTTATGAACCTTATTCCTTGTTGATGATAAAGTTATCATTATATTCCTATCCTCTAATGCAATTTTCCAATAAGAGATTTTTTTCTTCACAATATTTTAAATGCAGAAAAGTCTTTGAAGTATTATTTGTCTAACAGCATTTCAGATTTAGCATTTAAGAGAATTTGTGTTTTCTAATGTACTAACAATTTCCCCTAAAAGGCAGATGGAAAGCTTTGTACCTCAGAAGAAATGCACTATTTTAAACTGGACAGAGTTGTGCCATATTGTGGGCTTTTTATAAAGTAGAAGGATAGAATGATCGCTGCATTTCCCATGAGAACCAGCCTGGGAAAGTAAAGCTCTTGAGTTAAGAAGGCACTGTGACTCACATATGACAGGCTGGCCAAGATGACAGGCATAGATGCCAGTCAGAAGGGGCATGAGCAATGGTGGCTTGATTAGAACAGACCAGCCATTAAAAGTTTTGGTTTTGGGTTAAGTTAAAATGGGCTGTATTATACATTTGGAGAGCAATGCAGATAGGGAGGATATCTGCCAGGAATTGAGAAAGAAATAAAAGCACCAAATACTGTAAATTATCACTGGCTAAGAACTGCTTTTTAATGTGACATTTTGCTAAAATATACTTATTAAACTGCAATACTTATGAAATATGCAATTATAGCAGTCCTATTCTTTAAAAATATTTTTGGAGAATATAAATATATTATACCAAAGCCTCAAATTCATAGGTTATTAAAAGTTTCCGGAATACTAACTATTGCCACAGAGTAAGTGAATTTTAATCTAGTCACATGTGGCACCTTCAAAAAGAAGAGAGACTCCTCCATGCCTCATTTAAACCAGGCTCCTGTTAAATTCCTTTCCATTAAGTCATGTCTTTTTTGAACAAGCTACATGGCTTAAAGTCAGTCCACACAAAAAAATACTAGAAGGAAGCAGGCATTCTGGCTGTAAGTGCCAGAGAAATGATGACTGTATTTTCATCTTTTACTCTCTTCTTGACTCATTCCCCAAGTGATAATTCAAACTATAGAAATCCTAGCTCCTTATTTTGGTGATAAAAATGGATTTTGGGGGGCGATAAGCTTTGGTCTTCAAGGAAACTGATAAATGTCTGTCCAGCTTGCCCATTGTCATGGTGGCTTATTACCCTGTGCTCTGCCCTTGGTTTCCTCAACATAGGCTTCAGCTCTGGCTTTGGCAGGAGAAAGGGTTGAGAAGAAGGAAAAAGCAATATTGGTTTTAGAATCAGAAGACCTAGTTCTTCGAGCCCTGGCTCTGCCAGTTCTCATTGTGTGGACTTGGGCAAGTTATTTAATCTCTCTGTGCCTTACTACCCCCATCTATGAAATAGGGATAATAATGCTATTTATTATTGTCGTGTTTCTCAGAGGAGTTAAAGAAGTAGTACTAACAAAGGGACCCAGAGGGAAGTTAGAATAGATGTGATGTAGCCCTGTGAAATACTCTCACATGCTTTTGAAGATGAGCCAGTTTGGAGGGCTATTCCAATGGTACAAATTGGAGTTAGGTAAGACAGTTGAAGCAGGCATGGTATGACTGATTAATGTATGTAATCCCTAAATATGATTAATAATGTAGTACTCATAGAATAATAAAAGAATACACAGATGGACATTTAAGCAAGAGTCAGGGTATCATCTAAAAGAATTGACAGATAATTCATTTATTCTTTTTTTACTGTTTATTTGTTTTCCTTAGAGTGTTAGTTTAATAGAAAAACTACTTCATATTTGTTCCTAGACGTGTTTTAAGACGAAGAAAGCAAGTAGGAAACTGAACTTCACAATTCAGTACTAAGGATGGATAATACCCTGTGAAATTCTAAATTAAAAAAAAAAAAACTAGAAGCACAGAAAAAAATAGAATGATCTCACTTAATTTAAACCCACAAAGAAATCCATTTTAAGGAGACCACCCAGTACTTTACAGAAAAAAACCTGAGCTCTTTCTTTCTCTGACACTTGGCCTTTAAATATAAGTTCTTGGTAGCCAGTAGTCAAAAATGTTAAAATTCAGTCTTTAGACGGTTTCCTAGACAGGCTTCCTACTCACTCCATCCTTCAGCCTTTGTTTGTTTTCACTCTTACAGCTTGCTGGTCTGTGAGATTCAGCATTATTATTATTTTCTTCATGGGGCAAGTGTGTGTGTGTGTGTGTGTGTGTGTGTGTGTGTGTGTGTGTGTGTGTGTGTGTGTAGGCTTGGGAGAGTACTCAGGTAAAAGCAGCCTCCTTTTTATCTCTCAGGCTAGGACTTCTGAATTTATTTCCCCAATAGAACTCTAAAAAATGTGAAAGAAAACTGAGCAGTTTCTGTCTGTTTCTGAACATAACTGAATCATAGCATTTTAAATCGGGGAAGGAGCATAGAAATTGCTGAATCTGACCCCTTCCTTTTATACAGATGAGGCCCATGAGGCCCAAGAATGCTCCTGTTTGCAGCAAGGTCACGAACTTAGTGAGTGGAAGAACTGGGACTGGGCGCTGGGGCCTCCTGACAGCCCCTCTTTCCTTCCCACATTTACCCTTCCCTGCTCAGCCAGCTTGCTACTTTTCCAGCTTGTGTCCTGTGGAGAACCAACTAGAAACCTAAAGGGATTTATTCACATCTTTGTTGTCTCTACCAGCAACCAAAATTTAATTGTTTCCTTCCCCTCCTGATATGTCTTTCTTACAGCAAAAGAGCCGTGTCTGAACATCAGCTCCTCCATGACAAGGGCAAGTCCATCCAAGACTTAAGGCGAAGATTCTTTCTTCACCATCTGATCGCAGAAATCCACACAGCTGAAATCAGAGCTACCTCGGAGGTTTCCCCGAACTCCAAGCCCTCTCCCAACACTAAGAACCACCCGGTCCGATTCGGGTCCGACGATGAGGGCAGATACCTGACTCAGGAAACCAACAAGGTGGAAACATACAAAGAGCAGCCCCTCAAGACGCCTGGGAAGAAAAAGAAAGCCAAGCCTGGGAAACGCAAAGAACAGGAGAAGAAAAAACGGCGAACCCGATCTGCCTGGTTAGACTCGGGAGTGGCTGGGAGTGGGCTGCGAGGGGACCACCTGTCTGACATCTCCACAACGTCGCTGGAGCTCAGTTCACGGTAACACGGTTCTCCCACCCCTAACCTCACCTCGGGGCTCTCGGTTGGGTTTGAGAGCCTCCCTTCTGCCTTGGCTTGGACAAACCTAGAATTTTCTCCCTTTCTGTATTCCTGTCAATCACTAAACACACCTTACCTCCCCCCTCCACACACACACACACGCAGGTTTTATAGCCCATTTCTCTTTCCCCACCATTGCAACCCTAACACCAATTCTGTACTACTATACTAAATAATTTCAGTTCTTATTCAAGCTGAAGTTAGTGACCATCTTCATAATTTACTGGAAAAGCATATTTATTCACCCACTCTCACACATTACCAAACTTTCTTGATTGTTTTCCATTTCTGCCTTTTTTTCACTTCAAGGGACAACACAGAAGGCTTGTATATTATCAACAAACACTGCAAAACAATATCTTACCATAAACAATTCTGAGTCATTCACACTTTTCGTTTAATTAAATTTATTTAATTAAATTTTAAATTTATTTTAATTTAAAGCAATTACATTTATTTCATTACAATTTAAATGTATTTTAATTTAAAGAAATTAAATTATTTTTAAGCATGCCCTTTAAATTTGTTTAATTAAATTTAACTCTGTTTTCTCCCAGCTCATGAAAAAGAAATGGTTTCTGAAAAAATTTTTAGTATTAGCTTGGGAAGGATATAAAATTTTCTCATGTACCTCTTTGTCCATTAGCAAGTTGAAATAACTTTTCTAGGGTAATGCAGTAGAATAATAAAACTTCACATTTACGTGGCTTGTTTCTCCCTAGCTCATACATCCAGGTGGTAATGACGCTCAAAGACTTTAGAGTCAAATAACTTATGCTCAGGTCTTGGGTCTGAACTTACTAAAGTTCACAACCTTGGGCAGATTACTCGGCCTTGCTAAAACTCACTTTTGTCTCCTGTGAAATGAGGATAATAATTGTACCAACCTCATAGAGTTATTAAATGAGATTATGTGTGTTAAATGCCGGTCATATAGTAAACACTCAATAAATTGCAACATATTGTTTTGGTGCTTTTAGACCTAGTACTGATTATACCATCCACATATATGTGTGTGGGTGGGTGTGTTGCTGTGAGGCAAAAAAAGGGGGCAAATGTTAATCTCATTTTATAAAATAGAAAACAAAGGCATTTCAAAGGACTTGAGTAGTTCTTGGAATTGGGATAGGCAGTCCTCAGAACTAGATTTATTTAACCATTTTCTGATGTTTAGACTAGTGCTGGGTTAGCGCTGCTTCTTTATCCACACATTTCCATTGATAGGACCTTTTTCTGTTTTTACTTTTCAGTACAGCACTTCTATGGGGTTGAAAGAAAGGGAAAAATAACACAACAACACATCATATGCAATTAATGATCTCATTATTTAAGGAGTCCCCTGTTACTTCTCTAGTCCTTTCCTCTGACTCTGGCACAGATAGAATTACAGAGTGATGTTTCAAAGTGGAGTTTGAACCTATTTATCATCATTTCTCTGAGTTAAGTTGACAAACCCATTATTAAATAGCATATAAAACAGCAATTATATTGGATAAGTAGTACAGCTTCAGTAATTAATAGTCAGTGGCACTAGAGAAATCCTTAGCACAGTGAATGTCCTATTCACCAGTATCTAATGAATCTATAAGGGGTAACAAATCCTGTAAATCCTTGGCACATATTCATGGTGTTTTAAGCTATCATCCTAACTGTGCATATTTATAACTAATGCAAAGACCCTACTTTATTGTCCAAACCTATTTTTATTCATTTTCTTACTGCGTACATATATATATTTGAATTATAAAAACAGAAATATAAATAATTTTATGTATTTTATTCATTTAAAATATGCAATGCTTTTTAGGTATCTGGAGAATTAATGAAAATCAGCACTTGTCAATTCTTATAGCCAAAGCTATCCCTATGCTAAAGTAAGTCTAGTGAAAATTAGGCAGTGGCCTAATTAAATCCAGACATACAACTGAAAGAAATAGAATGTTTCTGCTTTTCCTTTCCCTTCCCCGTTTGAGAGAGAAGTTCATGGAAATAACTGTTTGTTTGGCAGCCAGATGTTGGCACTGTCCCAATACAACCCAACAGAAGTTCAGGGAAGAGTGGGGAAATTTAGGAGTGTATTAACGAGAATGTACAAGTCCATGCAAATGTTCTAATCTAAATAAAACCCTTTTAGAATACTATTTTAAGGTTTTACAAGTGACCAATCTTTTATTAATGTCCTTTCTTTAGTATCTTTGTATTATTATATGATGATCTGAGAGGTCTGAGGTAGCAAGCATGAACTGTATTATAATATATGTAGAATTTTTAAAAAGAACCTACCATTTTTTAAAAGAAAAAGAAAATTATTTTCTCTTGAGTAAACTGTTCAGTGGGAAATACATAGCTTTAGATTTTGGAAATCACATTTTAGAATTTTTGATGTTGCAAGTGAGACATCTAGATACAGTAGGACTCATTTATTAGAAATCATACATTTTGCCTTGGTAAATATTGAATTAGGAAAATATAAAAAGCTTTTCAGTAGTCACAAGAGCTAGGACTCTAAAGCGTTGTCATACACACACACATATAATAAATATACACGTATACTTTTAGGTCATGTTATATGTTTTACTTGGCCATTGCAATATGTGTGTTTGTTAAAGGAAAAATCAGAAGGAAAGAGAACAAGCAAACTGTCTGGACAGGGTGAAATATAATTTTAAAATCTTTTCCTTGGTCCTTCAACTTATTTCTTTTTCTTTCTTTCTTTCTGAGGAAAGAATTATTCAAAATAATATTCATTCCCTCCTAGCTTGTGTCATTCTTAAACTCAATTCACTAAATACCAGTTGGTGTAACAACACTGTAAAATCAGAACAGTACACAAATTACTGAGTTTTGAGGTCATCTTTTTTGGCTTTATTCATTACATCCTTCCACATCCACCCATCAGTAAAATTTTAATCTTAAACTCTTCTTTTCTCTGCAATTAGGAGCGATTTTAATATTCCAACTGAAATCATTGGTGAAGAGGTCAATTCCTTAATACATTAAAACACCCTAAATGCTCCACTTGCTTTTCTTTCTTTAAGCTGCCCATAAAACTCCGAAATTGTCAAGAATTTGCTCTTTTGTAGGTCTAATGCCCATACATTTGTCATGTAAGACTCTGCCCACAACTCTGGCTGTTAATTCAGGGACACCACCAATCAAATTCCATTTTGTAGTCGTTTCATTAGAATTGAATACTTAGTTACTGAAATAGACTACCCAAAGAGAAGAGAAAAGGAAAGAGAAAAGCAGAGAAGACCCTGCTAGTCCATCTTACAATACCTAGGTAGGCTAAAAAAGGTGTCAGTCCCAAGTGGTAACTAATTCTAAATAATAAAACACACAGTGATATGTAATACTACTATTTTATACATTTAAATCAATTTATTCTTAATTACTCTCTTATTTAAAAGAGGCCTTTCCATTTCTAGTGCAAAATTCACTCAAAACACTAGCAAAGTGAGAGACAATTCTTAGTCTTGGCTTTGAAAACTAAAATTCAATAATAATTTCATTCATTAGTGTTGAAGGACAGCTAAAGAAATGACAGATATCATCACATCATCAACTAAACCGTTTAATACACATCCTTCCAACATTTACACAAAGTCCCTCACTTTCACTGCCTTCACCACGGTTCATTATTTTAGTGAAAGTTTATCCAAATGAGACCTGAACAAAATTGACAAACTTTGGATTGTGTAAGTCAGGCATCATTGGGAAATAAACTTCTAAGTGAGGTGTATTTGGTGATGAATGGTCCAACCTAGCTTTAGTTCTGAATTCTCAAATTTGCCCCTTTTCTTCTCAAATTTGCCAGCTGGTAGCTTTGGAAAATTGTCACAGGACATAATTAGAAATGCAGGCCCTGTGACAGAACATAATTAGAAATACAGGCACTTTTTCTCTCTGCACCACATCAATCATCTAATCAGGATGAAGACTCTGCCTGTAATAGAGATTCTGGAGATCCAGGTGGACTCTCCCCACAGGCACCTCCTGTAGGAGATATTTGCAAGAAGTCTAGTGAATCTCTTTCCGTTGTGATTCTGTATTCCTTAATTAATACCCTTTATTTTATGCCTTTTCATTTGTAAAGAATGTTAACCTTTCTCCTCTTCTTTCCTTTCCTTCTCTTTTCAGGAGGCATTGAAATTTTCAGCAGAGACCTTCCGAGGACCTATTGCAGGATTCTGTAATAGTGAACATATGGAAAGTATTAGAAATATTTATTGTCTGTAAATACTGTAAATGCATTGGAATAAAACTGTCTCCCCGATTGCTCTATGAAACTGCACATTGGTCATTGTGAATATATTTTTTTCCCAAGGCTAATCCAATTATTATTATCACATTTACCATAATTTATTTTGTCAACTGATGTATTTATTTTGTAAATGTATCTTGGTGCTGCTGAATTTCTATATTTTTTGTAACATAATGCACTTTAGATATACATATCAAGTATGTTGATAAATGACACAATAAAGTGTCTCTATTTTGTGGTTGATTTTAATGGATGCCTAAATATAATTATCCAAACCGATTTTCCTCTGTGCATGTAAAAATAGCCGTATTTTAAATTTGTAAAGAATATCTAATAAAATATAATCTAACTACATTGTGACTCAGAAGGTGGATTATATTCTTTAAGATTTCTAGCATAAGGAATACAAGGTAGTTTTTTAAACTGTATTTGAAAACGATCTTAAGCTTAACATGTTATATTGGTACATATTCCAACATTTTCACATTAGCTTTTAGTTAAAAACTGCATAAAATGTATTTTTTCCAGTATTTCACGTTGAGTCAATAGAATGAATGAACTACCTAGACATCATTTTATAAAGTTCATTCAACTCGAAATGAAGACATGGAAGGGCAGGAAAGAAGCAGAGAGAAGTCAGGAGAAAAGATTACAGAAACTTAATCCAGAGGGTTGGCCAGAGCTGAAAAAAAGGGGTACAGGCAGGTCAGGGAGTTTAAGGCCATAGGTGATTTTAACCAATGTAAAGTCTAATTTGAGAGACCTTGCTTTTCCTGGTGACAACAATAATAAGCATAAAAGAGCTACTTGCGATCCTGATGTTAAGCTTTCCTACCGGAGAAAGGAGGGAAATTCGGGTTTGGAAGATAATGTGACAACTCAAAAAGCCTTCAAAGGTGAAGATTGCTGTCCTGTGATGATATCACAGTTCCTAGAACTTCAGTTGCAAACAGTGTGAGTGCAGTGCCATGTGGAATCCCTTCTCCATTTTGGATGTCGTCCTAGTTGTTCCTACCTCTATGTTCAGATGAAAACACAAACACATTGCCTTCTCCAGAATTTTCTTCTTCAACAGTCTGCAGCTTAGGCCACATCAATAAAAAACAGAACAAAAAGCCCATGAATCAAGCAAGTTCATATATTGGAAGTATTCTGTTCATGCCCAATATCTTATTTGAGGTGTATTAGACATTTGGGGGGTTCACAGGAAGTAAAATACTATAACCTCCTTCAAGACTCTTTCACTTCAGTGGGTGAATTTTATGTACATATACGTGAAACAACTAATGCTATATTCAAGAAATTATGAAATGACCCAAAATTCTATGAATATTTTACTTTCCAGTATTTCACGTTGAGTCAATAGAATGAATGAACTACCTAGACATTTTATAAAGTTCATTCAACTCGAAATGAAGACATGGAGGGGCAGGAAAGAAGCAGAGAGAAGTCAGGAAAAAAGATTACAGAAACTTAATCCAGAGGGTTGGCCAGAGCTGAAAAAAAGGGGTACAGGCAGGTCAGGGAGTTTAAGGCCATAGGTGATTTTAACCAATGTAAAGTCTAATTTGAGAGACCTTGCTTTTCCTGGTGACAACAATAATAAGCATAAAAGAGCTACTTGCGATCCTGATGTTAAGCTTTCCTACCGGAGAAAGGAGGGAAATTCGGGTTTGGAAGATAATGTGACAACTCAAAAAGCCTTCAAAGGTGAAGATTGCTGTCCTGTGATATCACAGTTCCTAGAACTTCAGTTGCAAACAGTGTGAGTGCAGTGCCATGTGGAATCCCTTCTCCATTTTGGATATCGTCCTAGTTGTTCCTACCTCTATGTTCAGATGAAAACACAAACACATTGCCTTCTCCAGAATTTTCTTCTTCAACAGTCTGCAGCTTAGGCCACATCAATAAAAAACAGAACAAAAAACCCATGAATCAAGCAAGTTCATATATTGGAAGTATTCTGTTCATGCCCAATATCTTATTTGAGGTCTATTAGACATTTGGGGGGTTCACAGGAAGTAAAATACTATAACCTCCTTCAAGACTCTTTCACTTCAGTGGGTGAATTTTATGTACATATACATGAAACAACTAATGCTATATTCAAGAAATTATGAAATGACCCAAAATTCTATGAATATTTTAAAAAGGAAAAGAAAATACATAGGGAGAGATTAATATGGGCTGGGTATGGGAAGGATTATGTTTCTGGAAGGAACAGCCTAAGATTTAACTTAATCATATTTCATTTGAGTCCCATAGCCTTCAAAACAGGACTCATCTTTTTTTTTTTTTTTTTGTAAGAATTTTAAACCTATATTAGTAGGCAAATAAAGAAATTTGTGCTTATCTTCACTTACGAATTTTTCAGAGATGGTTTTTACACCTAAGGATCATTCAGAAGTTTAAGGCCAATACACTAAACCTGTATAAAGCAAGTAGTTTGGAATGCCTTAAAAACAGATATAACCACATTTTGCAAAACTCCATCTGAAACTAAATCTTAAGTAAAATTGCACCCAATCCTTATAAGACATTCACATGAAAAATATATTTTTAAAATCACCAGCTTGGTAAATACTTGGGTATTAAGGCAAGAAAGCATCAGATTCACCTTTAAATACAAGTCATTTATAAGTTTTTCTTCACAAGTAGTCCACTCCTAAGAAGAAAAGGAGGGAGAGGGAATTAGGAACTTATAGTTATCAATTCTCACCAAAGCATTATTAATACCATTATTGTCCTAGGTCCTCGAACAGTGATAAA